TAACCAGGATTAGACCAGCAGGACGTGCTGCTCTCAGGACATTGTACAAGGATCAAATCTCACATGAAGTTGAGGACAAGGAGCTCCAGGAATTCCTGAAAAATGAAGATGCCTTGAATCCTCTCACATCTTCAGTCTGATAATTCAGACACTGATTTTCTGGCTCAAGCAGGTTCGGTGCCGATGTGACTCAAACATCCCGAATCCTCTCGAGCAGCAGCTCCCAGGGGGTGAGGAGCTGTTGGAAGTGGGGACGGAGTGGGAGAGGAGGTGCCGCAGGTCTGCAGTGATGGAGGAGGCCTGGGCCAAGGAAGAGGTTGGAGAAGGCACCAGCACCAGGGAGCTGCGGCGTTTCGCTGTGAGGCAGGGCTGGGAGGGAAGAACGCGGTGTGAACACAGTCCAGAGAGACTGCGGGGTTGTGTGAGGGGGCAAGTGAGGCAAATCAGCACGGAGAAATGGGAGTGAGCACGGAGAGAGAAATGGGAGTGAGCATGGAGAAATGGGAGCGAGCATGGAGAAATGGGAGTGAGCACGGAGAAATGGGAGTGAGCATGGAGAAATGGGAGTGAGCACGGAGAAATGGGAGTGAGCACGGAGAGAGAAATGGGAGTGAGCACGGAGAAATGGGAGTGAGCATGGAGAAATGGGAGTGAGCACGGAGAGAGAAATGGAGTGAGCATGGAGAAGTGGGAGTGAGCATGGAGAAGTGGGAGTGAGCACGGAGAGAGAAATGGAGTGAGCACGGAGAAATGGGAGTGAGCACGGAGAAATGGGAGTGAGAAGGTGGCACGGGACTGACTGCTGGGGTGGAGGAAGCAGCAGGAGCCGCGTGTGCCTGTGCGAGGGGAGATGTTCAGGAAACAGCTGTAATGAAGCCACCTACTAACAGGCAAAAAAAAAAAAAGCAGGAGCGTTGCTCTGCAAACACTGGCACTTTCCCAAAAGAACACGGAATTATTTTAAATTTTTTTTTTAAACTAAAGTGGAATTTGTTTGACAGAACAATTCCCCTTAGAAATGAAATTCTTTAAAGATTGGATCACACTGAATAATGAAGGGTGAAGTGCTTCGTGGCCTAAACTGGATTCCTTAAAAGGAGACCCGCTCAGATCCGACTGTTTCTATTCGGGCTCTACTTACAGCAAGTATTTCCCCAAAATCTAGTGGCAGAACAAGCCCACGGCTCACACGTACGTCTGCTGCCCGAGTCTCCCGGCGCTTTGCAAAGGGCAAAGGGAACCGGTAGCATTTGCCTGTTGTCAAAACTTCGTGGAGTGCTGTGGGTGCATCCGCTCGCTCTGCCAAGGAGACACCAACCCGCCCAGGGATGGAACTGTCTTCCAGAGCAGACACTCGTCTCCTGCTAACTCCGTATCCCCCTCCCTCTGTGATGATGACACAAGCCATCAAACTGTGAGTATCACTTTCTCAAGGAACAGAACAGGAAAACACAAGAAGGAAGCGTAACACCTGAAATGTGGGGGCCAAATGGATGGGGCCGGGCTCTTTTCATGGTGCCCAGTGACAGGACAAGGGGCAATGGGCACAAACTGGAACACCAGAAGTTCCAGAGAAACCTAAGGAAAAACTTCTTTCCTGTGAGGGTGCTGGAGCCCTGGGACAGGCTGCCCAGAGA